CGCATCATCAATGTGGACCGTGGGACATTTACTCCACTAGTTTTCACCACGGCCGGTTGTTGTGCGCCAGAGTGCTCCAGATTTGTTAAGCGCCTGTGTGGCCTCATTTCGAGTGGGGACACGAAGTTGTATGCCCAGACAATGACATATGTCCGGTGTCGACTGGCGTTTGCATTGTTGCGGTCGGCGATCATGTGCATCCGCGGTGCTCGATCGTCATATCACCGTCCTGTGAATGCATTGCGAGAGTTGGCAATCTCGGAGGGCCGGCTGTGAGGTTTTGGAGACGATGGTGGGCAGGACAGTGCCCTTGTATTTTCCTGGTTTTTGTTTTTTGTTTGCTTTTTTGTTTGTTTTTGTTTTTGGTGTTTTTGTTTTTTTTTGTTTTTTTTTGTTTTTTGTTTTTTGTTTTTTTGTTTCTCGTTTTTGCGTTTTTTCACACATACAATTGTTTTCATTTTTTGGTGTTGTGTTCTAATCATTCGCCATGCCACTGTCAATTGTGTTCTGTTTGCCCGTAAAAGAGGCCTTCTTTCATCATTACCCACTCTACTCAGTATCATTACCCACTCTACTCAGTATCATTACCCACTCTACTCAGTATCATTACCCACTCTACTCAGTATCATTACCCACTCTACTCAGTATCATTACCCACTCTACTCAGTATCATTACCCACTCTACTCAGTATCATTACCCACTCTACTCAGTATCATTACCCACTCTACTCAGTATCATTACCCACTCTACTCAGTATCATTACCCACTCTACTCAGTATCATTACCCACTCTACTCAGTATCATTACCCACTCTACTCAGTATCATTACCCACTCTACTCAGTATCATTACCCACTCTACTCAGTATCATTACCCACTCTACTCAGTATCATTACCCACTCTACTCAGTATCATTACCCACTCTACTCAGTATCATTACCCACTCTACTCAGTATCATTACCCACTCTACTCAGTATCATTACCCACTCTACTCAGTATCATTACCCACTCTACTCAGTATCATTACCCACTCTACTCAGTATCATTACCCACTCTACTCAGTATCATTACCCACTCTACTCAGTATCATTACCCACTCTACTCAGTATCATTACCCACTCTACTCAGTATCATTACCCACTCTACTCAGTATCATTACCCACTCTACTCAGTATCATTACCCACTCTACTCAGTATCATTACCCACTCTACTCAGTATCATTACCCACTCTACTCAGTATCATTACCCACTCTACTCAGTATCATTACCCACTCTACTCAGTATCATTACCCACTCTACTCAGTATCATTACCCACTCTACTCAGTATCATTACCTCATCATTACCTTCATTGGCTTTTTTTATACTTTATTCTCCTTTTTAGTCGATATCATGTAATTCGGGGAATTTGCCTGTTTGTTCTTCGACTCTAAATAAACAAACAACAACCTCGACTCTCTCAAGGAAACTAGAGTCGGGCAAAAGAGAGGAGAGCCGCGGGTCCACAACGACATCATGGAACTGTTATGTCAAGTGATTCCTAGTTGATTCTGGCACGTGTGTTTGGTCAGGTGATTCTTATCCATTCCCATTCCAGAATGGTTGTCATTTACATTCTGAAAATGCCCAAGCTAACGCAACCGAAATTAAGGTCCTGGTTTCTCTGCGGAAATTAGCGAAATTTAAGTTACACCGAAAATGACGTGATATACAGTACCGAATTCTGCCATCTGTCAACTGGCGCCAATGACCACTTGTAGGTACATGTAATAGAAGACTTCAAAGGAAATTGAACATGACTGCTAATTTAGACAAATCCCAAGCTACAACTGCATGACAATGTACATGTACAATGTATCCTATGTGTGTGTGCCATGGGGGGGGGGGGGGGGGGGTCTCCAATTGCCAATCATAACACACGAAATTTTTATTACCGTACAACAGCAGCAGAGCCAAGCTAAGAAAGGAAAGTAAATGGGGTTTTCCCTGTCGCCTGGCAAAAATGCTGACCCGATGCCCAGCCTACTGCATGCAATGTGACCATGACACGTAGCCTGTGTGGCAGGGTGATCATAAAGAGAGTAATACCAAATAAGGAATATTATGCCATTGCTGCAGAGTTCACACTGTTACAATAGTGCAGACAATAGTGTGCACTGTGTAGGACATACATGTTATAGTCGGTTGGGTTTACAAACAAAAATAATTAATAAAACATTTCAGCATCTACAGACCGTAATGCACAGCGTTTGAGAGTGTGAGCTTTTTTAAATAATATTACTACCAATTCATGTTAAAGGGAAACTGAACGCCAAAAATAAGTATGGCTTATCCGAAGGAGAATTGGGCACTGATTCCGATGAGCTATGTCTCGAGCCGATCAGAGAAGAGGAACTGTCTCAAATTTCATAAATAACACCTCCCATATTTGGAAATTGGCCTTGATGACGTGCGTACTGCTTAGCTGTCACCATGCTGTGCATGTTCAGCAGTGTAATTGAATGGAAGAAAACAATTACTTTGGTGTTTTGCAGCTCTGTTTCGTTCCCTGACGGTAACCAAATCTAGATGTAGGAATCTGTTGAGCAGGAGAGTGACACATGTCTTCCCGAAGGCTGTCCAGGCTGCAGTGGTGATGAAGAAGACACGATCATCACCCCGAGATCGATCGTAGCGAATTGGAAAACTCATGGTGAATTTGCTTGCACTCCAAGGCAATGTCGAGGTATGAAGGGTGCTTGTACTGCCTTCCAAAGAAAAGAGGAGATGAACATGGCTTTGCATAGCTGTTGTTCTATGCCAACTTACCTACTCTTGCTGGTACCGTAGTGGCATATTGCAAATTTCGTGGACGAACAACTCTAGTCACTAGTGGCTGGTGAGCAACACTAACAGGTGAGATTTTTCAATTCGACAAAAATTGTTTTTGTTTGAGAACTGACAGTGGCAGTCATTAGACTCAGTAGGTGTCTTTGCTGCTTCTTTCCCTTCATTGGTAGGGTTGTGCTTGAATAGTACAAGTGCTTGAAGTAAAATATAATAAATAGAACATGTGGAACATAAATCTAATCAAGCATCAGTACATGTATTGCGAAGTTCGACTTCGAAGCACATGAAATCACAATGATCACGAAGTTTATGTAATCAGGAGTACACCCTGTGTTCAACGAACACATACACACATGCTGTATTGCGCACACACATGTACACATGTGCGTGCACCCCCACCCCATCCCACAGACACACGCATGCAGCGCGCACATCCATACACATGTGCGTGTACCCCCCCCCCCACACACACACTCCTACCCATACACATGTGCGTGCCCCCCCCCCCACACACACACGTGTGCACATACAGATACGCAAACACACACGCACGAACACACACACACAAGATACGTGTAAGTGTACATGGTCTTCCTGGTGCAGATGCTGAGCCAGCACAATGGAAAATACCTCCATCAAGATGCTTGATCAAGTGTTGTGATAATGGCACTGTTTGTTTGTTTTACAAAGAAGTGTGGGAAAGATTACAATGCATTATAATTCATAATTGTTCTTTGCCTTGTACTGTGCAGACCAGAATGCTTCGCTATCAACTCCTGGCTTTCCATCGGCATGGTGTTCATCTGCAGCGGCATCTGGTCCGGGGAGTTCAAGTTGCTGGATGGCTGCACTGACACAGGATGGGTTTGCGTTGGCAATGCGATACGGCAGTCATCCCACATCACGAGCTACATGTTTATGTAATTTATATGGTAGGCACAATCTTCCTCAGCCTACTCAAGCTCAACTGATGAGGGGTGAATTCCCCGAAACACTGTGTATTGAGCAGGGAGTGGTGCTTTCTTGCAGGTTTGCCGAGTCGAAGGTTCGATGGACTTCTCGTGTGCTCTGGATGGCAGTCGTGAGTCAGTCAAGTGTCAAGTAAAGTCGGCGGAATAGCGCGAGCTCCGGTGTGGGGAGCAAACCTTTCTTACAAATCATCGCCGAAGTCGCAACCACTACTTCGTATTATTATTATTATTATTATTATTATTATTATTAACTCTCCGCAAAACATGAATGGAAAGCACCCTAATAATAATTTATTATACTCGTTCAGAAAGTGGTGGACATAACACAACAGCATTGTAAATAAAAGGGGGTTTGTCAACTGACAACCGCTCTATTTAGTTATTATCTATTTAATTTTGAATAGGGCATTCCCACAGGCCTAAGGCCTTCTTACGGGTACCCATATTATGTTGAATAGGTCATTCCCACAGGCCTAAGGCCTTCTTACGGGTACCCTATAATATGTTTGAATAGGGCATTCCCACAGGCCTAAGGCCTTCTTACGGGTACCCTATAATATGTTTGAATAGGGCATTCCCACAGGCCTAAGGCCTTCTTACGGGTACCCTATAATATGTTTGAATAGGGCATTCCCTCAGGCCTAAGGCCTTCTTACGGGTACCCTATAATATGTTTGAAAAGGGCATTCCCACAGGCCTAAGGCCTTCTTACGGGTACCCTATAATATGTGTGAATAGGGCATTCCCACAGGCCTAAGGCCTTCTTACGGGTACCCTATAATATGTTTGAAAAGGGCATTCCCACAGGCCTAAGGCCTTCTTACGGGTACCCTATAATATGTTTGAAAAGGGCATTCCCACAGGCCTAAGGCCTTCTTACGGGGTAACCTATATGTTTTTGTATGGATTGCTATTCACTCTTTTGATGAAAATTATTTTAGGATGTCGAAACATTATTGACGTTTCGGGCCAGTCATCCATCGTCAGTGCCATGATGGGTGACTGGTCCGAAACGTCAATAATTATACTCGGGGCCTCACAGTATTGGTGTACAGATGATGTTGGAGTCTAGGGTCAGGCGGATTCTGCTGGCAGAAGAATGGGCAGAATTCGGTACTTTTTCTGATAAGTTTCATGCATGTTGGTATGTGGATAAAAAAATGGAGCAGAATTGGAGGAATTGCCTCCATAAGGTTTGTATGGTTCTGCCAATTCCACTGCTTTTCGAGCAGAATCTGCCACCTTTTCGAGCAGAATCCGCCGGTCCCTATGTTGGACATATCGCTCTCCACTTCCCCAAGCTATCGCTCTCCACTTCCCCAAGCTATCGCTCTCCACTTCCCCAACCTATCGCTCTCCACTTCCCCAAGCTATCGCTCTCCACTTCCCCAAGCTATCGCTCTCCATTTCCCCAACCTATCGCTCTCCACTTCCCCAAGCTATCGCTCTCCACTTCCCCAAGCTATCGCTCTCCACTTCCCCAAGCTATCGCTCTCCACTTCCCAAGCTATCGCTCTCCACTTCCCCAAGCTATCGCTCTCCACTTCCCCAAGCTATCGCTCTCCACTTCCCCAAGCTATCGCTCTCCACTTCCCCAAGCTGTCGCTCTCCACTTCCCCAAGCTATCGCTCTCCACTTCCCCAAGCTATCGCTCTCCACTTCCCCAAGCTATCGCCCTCCACTTTCCCAAGCTATCGCTCTCCACTTCCCCAAGCTATCGCTCTCCACTTCCCCAAGCTATCGCTCTCCACTTCCCCAAGCTATCGCTCTCCACTTCCCCAAGCTATCGCTCTCCACTTCCCCAAGCTATCGATCTCTACTTCCCCAAGCTATCGCTCTCCACTTCCCCAAGCTATCGCTCTCCACTTCCCCAAGCTATCGATCTCTACTTCCCCAAGCTATCGCTCTCCACTTCCCCAAGCTATGGCTCTCCACTTCCCCAAGCTATCGCTCTCCACTTCCCCAAGCTATCGCTCTCCACTTCCCCAAGCTATCGCTCTCCACTTCCGCAAGCTATCGCTCTCCACTTCCCCAAGCTATCGCTCTCCACTTCCCCTTCCCCAAGCTATCGCTCTCCACTTCCCCAAGCTATCGCTCTCCACTTGCCCAAGCTATCGCTCTCCACTTCCCCAAGCTATCGCTCTCCACTTCACCAAGCTATCGCTCTTCACTTCCCCAAGCTATCGCTCTCCACTTCCCCAAGCTTTCGCTCTCCACTTCCCCAAGCTCACACTGACAGCGTACTGTCTAGTTGAGGACAAACCGGAAAGCCTTCATGCGAAACCAGTCTCCTTCTTGAATGTACATTCCCGGAAGTACACACTTCTGTATGAAAACTCTACTTGGAACAAAGGATATTTGTTCAGCTACATATCAGGGAAAGTCCCATCGCAACACATACTAATACTAGTCTTGCAAGTTAACGAAAAGGCTCAATTCCTTTTGAGTAGCCTTTTGAGTAGCCTTTTGAGTAGCCTTTTGAGTAGCCTTTTGGGTAGCCTTTTGGGTAGCCTTTTGAGTAGCTATTTGAGTAGCCTTTTGAGTAGCCTTTTGAGTAGCCTTTTGAGTAGCCTTTTGAGTAGCCTTTTGAGTAGCCTTTTGAGTAACCTTTTGAGTAGCCTTTTGAGTAGCCTTTTGAGTAGCTTTTTGAGTAGCCTTTTGGATAGCCTTTTGGAAAGCCTTTTGGGTAGCCTTTTGAGTAGCCTTTTGAGTAGCCTTTTGAGTAGCGTTTTGAGTAGCCTTTTGAGTAGCCTTTTGAGTAGCCTTTTGAGTAGCCTTTTGAGTAGCCTTTTGAGTAGCTTTTTGAGTAGCCTTTTGGGTAGCCTTTTGGGTAGCCTTTTGAGTACCCTTTTGAGTAGCCTTTTGAGTAGCCTTTTGAGTAGCCTTTTGAGTAGCCTTTTGAGTAGCCTTTTGAGTAGCCTTTTGAGTAGCCTTTTGAGTAGCCTTTTGAGTAGCCTTTTGAGTAGCCTTTTGAGTAGCCTTTTGGGTAGCCTTTTGGGTAGCCTTTTGAGTAGCCTTTTGAGTAGCCTTTTGAGTAGCCTTTTGAGTAGCCTTTTGAGTAGCCTTTTGAGTAGCCTTTTGAGTAGCCTTTTGAGTAGCCTTTTGGGTAGCCTTTTGGGTAGCCTTTTGAGTAGCCTTTTGAGTAGCCTTTTGAGTAGCCTTTTGAGTAGCCTTTTGAGTAGCCTTTTGAGTAGCCTTTTGAGTAGCCTTTTGAGTAGCCTTTTGAGTAGCCTTTTGAGTAGCCTTTTGAGTAGCCTTTCGATGTATTTAGTACTGAGTGTCGTAAGGCTCTAATGGAAGAGGGTCTTATCCATGTACTTACTAAGATGTTCTGATACATATTTAGCACAGGTGACAAGGCTACGTACAACAATTATAGATACCAGGCGTATTTGGTATCGACGTCCTGGTTTTGAAAGGTTGAAGCCTTTCCTAGAGTTCGTTCATTGAATGGTTAGCAGCCACTATAAAAAACGGTATGGATGTCTCAGTTCACAAGTTCTTGCTGTCAATGCGACAGACATATTTTTCAAGCAGAGATCAGCAGACAGTGAACAAATCTACAGTTGATACATTTCAGGTACACGTTGTGTTTGTGTGGATATCAGCAAGAAGCAGATATAACATCAGAAAAAGGAAGAGCTGGGAGAACTTCTACATACAGCTGAATTGTAAGTTGTGCGCATTGGACTTTTCTTTGCAACATACATGTAGCTGCCTAGATTTTCCCAACACTAGTTAGAATAAAAATCAAAAGTTCAGGTCTTCGTTTGATGGTTCACCAATACACTAGTGTCTTGAAACTGTCCGCCTCTCCACACTTCGCTCTTGGCCCACATTCACCACACCAATCCGAGGACATTCGCTCTTGGGTAGATGTTCCACATCTCCCAGACAGCTGGTTCGCAGTGTGGAGAGATGGACGGGTTGTAATTACTTTCAAATGGCCGAGTCCGTTCAAGCCGCTCTGAGAGTACCAATATATTGGTTGGTTGGTATATTTTATTTTACTTTGCCAGAATGAACAGGCATTTCTACCATCTTGCCTGGACAAGAGGATTGTCCAGGCTCTCACAAAAAGACGAAGAAGGGAAAGAAATATTACATGAGAGTGTGAAGCATGCAATCTTATAAGAGAAATTCCATGAGAGTGTGACGCATGCATGATGAGAGAGGAGATAGAGATAGATAGATAGATAGATAGATAGATAGATAGATAGAGAGAGAGAGAGAGATAGAGAGAGACTGCTTTATTGCCTGGACAAGTGAATTGTCCAAGCAAAATATATCTTCATACTAGTGTAAACCTCTTCTTAAATTTCATCAATTGGAGTAGGAAGATATTACTTGTCGATGCCATCATCATTTTGGCCTCTCAATTCAGCGGAATTCACTGGCGTGTAGTGCCAAGATTCTCTTGCCATCAGGCAACACTACCCGAGACGAGACGAGTGACTGGTAGACTGGTCTTGCTGGTGTCCGCAAGCGTTCTGGGGTCTGGTCGGGTCACAAGGACACCTTATGCAGCAGCTATTTCTCTTATAAGATTGCATGCTTCGCACTCTCATGTAATATCTATTTCCTTTCTTCGTCTTTTTTTTGAGAGCTTGGGCAATCCACTTGTCCAGGCAAGAAGGCAGCAATGCCTGTTTGTTCTGGTGAAGTAAAATAAAATATACCAACCAACCAGCTGATGATGCTGATGGTGTTCTGTCACTACCACGTGTCGAGCTCGGCCGGAGAGCTCAGTTATAGTGTGATGGTTGATGCTAAACAAATATCGATTTTAATGAACAGTATTAACTATGGACTCAGATGGTAAGCCAATGTAATCCTGGACAAATAAAAAAAAAGGAAGGACAACATTGTTACGTGTTATGACCAACTATCCACCAAAGTAACCAGAGAATATACATATACAATCACCAGAGTGCGACAAGACGCAATACTGACCAGGGAGAGTACTCAGACATTCCTAATCTGAACGTTTGGAAGATTGTCGGGTTGCGTTTCGAAGATGTCACGGTTCTAGCCACATGTACATATACATGTAGGTGATATCAAGACTACGTAACCTGTTTATACCTCACTCCATAATACACTTTAATACAGTCTTGGGCAAGATCACCCTTAGTGGTGTATATATCTCCATAATACACTTTAATACACTCTTGGGCAAGATCTCCCTTAGTGGTGTATATAATTATCTCCATAATACACTTTAATACAGTCTTGGGCAAGATCTCCCTTAGTGGTGTATATATCTCCATAATACACTTTAATACAGTATTGGGCATGCTCTCCCTTAGTGGTGTATATAATTCCATATACAAATATTACACAGCAATGAATCAAACAAGTCTCTGTCGGCTGTTACTCCGAGTTTCGTGTGAAAGCACTCATCAGACAGTAGCATATGACCAAGACTAACAATCACTAGAATATATATGTACACGGCGGGTGTTGAGAGAAGAGTGCAAAGGTGATGGAGGTACAACATTTCAATAGCGCGAGGAAAAGGGGTGACAGCGGAAAGAGACTTGTTTGCTTCATTGCTGTGTAATATTTGTATTACTGGCTCTGTCAACAGGACATTGAGCACTGTAAGCAGCCTGAGGACTTTAGACAACTGTCTATCTCCATATACATGTACACAGCTAAGAGAAATTAGAAGTAGCTGTCGGCGAGGAACAAGCCATTAGGAGGTCACACACAGTGAATATGGACAGGTATAAATAAATTATAACAAAGGGACCTCGTGTACATGTATATCGAGATGGACACCAGTTATAAAAAAACCTCGGCTTCGCGTCGGTTTTCATACTGATGTAGTTTTTGTGTGGTTTTTGTGGGGGTTTTGTGCAGTTTTGTACAGTTTTTGTACAGTTTTTGTGCAGTTTTGTACAGTTTTGTGCGGTTTTGTGCAGTTTTTGTGCAGTTTTTGTACAGTTTTCTGCAGTTTTTGTACAGTTTTTGTGCAGTTTTTGTGCGGCTTGTTGCACTCGCTGACTTCACTTGCACATGTACATGGTTACTTTGGTGCGCAGTTCGTGATCATTGTTTTCTTTCTCTTTCTACCGTGTGTGTGTGTGTGAGTGCACGCGTCTGTGTATGTGTTTGTGTGTGCGTACATGTACAAATTTCTACCTGACGTACATTTAAATGCTGAAGTAATGTGTATGTACATGATGTTACATGTGTGTGTTTGTGTGTGTGTGTGTGTGTGTGTGTGTGTGTGTGTTACTGTAGGAAAGATGATGCTGATTCACCACAGCTGGTCACTGCTACTCTCGTTAGCCATCATGTTGCCATGGTACTGTGCAGCCCTGCCAGCCAATGACGGCCATGGCTCTACATCACGTGATGACCAGGAGTCAATGGCGTCACTGGAGACAGAATGGGAAGAGGTATTGGCGGAGCACCCACGAACCGAAGGCAGCAACGGTGGCAGCATTGATTACCGACTGGACCACGAGTCATGTCGCAGCGAAATGACCGATATTCTGGTTAAACGAGCTGGCTGCCTCAAGCGTGTATCTATCGGAGTCTGTTCGGGAACGTGCATGTCTAGGCCGGTCTTCCTAAAAACTCACCCTTTTGTAAAATATCCCTGCTCAAAGTGCTTTCCTGTCACATCCAAACCGTATCGAGTGGATATGAACGATCAAGAATGTCGGCAGCAACGACTGGAGAAGGGCAAGGAGGACAAAAACAAATCATTCTCCAACATTTTCTTACTCAGTGCAACCAGCTGTTCGTGCCAGGCATCCGCAATCAAACAATAGAATTATTTCTCAATCACCAATTTCACTGAAGAAATACAACGGTTGTGAACAACAGATTCTCACCTTTTGCCATCATCACTTTTGAATGGTAGAAATTACCTACTTGAAAGATAAGTGCAAGTGGTCACCACAAGATTTTATTCTTCGCTATCCCCTCCAAGATATTATTATCAATTTTAACCAATGAATATCAATTTTATTCTTTCAGAACTTGCAGCGATTTGTTGACACTTATATTATGCTATTGTTTCTACAGAAGTCTGCAATGTTATGCGTTGTGATGGCTTGTCCGGGAGCCCTTAGCGGTCGAAAATTTTGCAGATTCTGCTCGAAAAGCAGAGAAATTGATGGAACCTTATGGCAGGCACTTCCTTGAAATCTGCTCCATTTCTGTATCCACATGCCAAACGTGCAGAACACATACCAGAAACACTACAACATTCTGCCGATTTTCCCGCATTGCCTGCCAA